AGATGGAATCAAGTTAAAATGAGGTCCTACTGGATTAGGGTGGGCCCAGAATCAGTGACTGGTGTCCTTAAAAGAGAAAGGAGAGGGGGACTTGGATCCAGAGGTACACAGACACACAGGGAAGAAGACCATGTGCAGATGGACGCAGAGATTGGAGAGATGCCGCCTCAAACCAAGGAAACTGGAAGAGTCAAGGAAGGAATATTCCCTAGAACCCTCAGGGAAGGGCAGAGCTGAGACTAAAATGCAGGAATCGGGAATCTTGCTTTCAAGCGCAATGCTGAATCTGCTTCCTAAGTCATTACTCCCCAGCTCATCAATGGCAGAGAGTCTTGGGGACCTGCTTTGGGGTTCCTGGAGGAGGAAGGAGGTGACTAGATCAGCTGAACCCGCAGACTGTGCTTACCTAAGTCTTCTCATGCAGTCCTCACCCCAAGGCAGGTTCCTCCCATCTCCATTTTCCAGAGGAGGAAACTGAGGCTCAGAGGGAAGAAGCAGCTTGCCCAAAGTCACATTGCTAGTAAGAACTGAACCTTGGTCTGACTCCGGATTCACCTCTCTTTTTTTTATGATTTGGAGCCCTGGTGGCACAGTGGTTAAGAACTATGGCTGCTAACCAAAAGTTTGACAGTTTGAATCCATCACCCGCCTTGGAAACCCTATGGGGCAGTTGTACTCTGTCCTATAGGGTCGCTATGAGTCGGAATTGACTCGATGGCATTGGGTTTTTGTTTCTGTTTTTTTTTTAATGGTGACTTTGCTTTTCTCTGTGCTTAGACAACATTGTGCAGGGGCCTTACTTTGTCTCACTGTGTCATGGCCTCAAGTGACCTCATCTGATGGTGGAGTCCTTGAGATTGTGGATGTGCAGCTGTAGGACGGCACGGCCCAGTGGTGAGGGCCAGGCCAGTTCCCGGAGGTCAGGGGCTATGTTTCTTCTTTCTCACCATCTAGGGGCTCATCAGAGCTTTGTGCTGGATAGGAATCCGGTCTAGCGTTCCCAGGTCTAGTTTGGTTGTAACAGCATTCCTATAGTATTAAATGGTTTATAAACATGGTTGTTGTTGTTAGGTGCCATCAAGTCCATTCCAACTCATAGAGACCGTGTGTGACACAGTAGAACTGCCCCATAGGGTTTCCTAGGCTGTAATCTTTATGAGAGCAGATCATCAGGTCTTTCTCCTGTGGAGCTGCTGGCTGGGTTTGAACTGCCAACCCTTTGGTTAGCAGCCAAGTGCTTAACTATTGTGCCACCAGGGCTCCATACAAGCACAGTACCAAGCCAAAAAAACAATAATAACAATAACAGCAACAGTAATGTAGGGCTTATTATGGGATGAGCACCGTTCTGAGAGGTTTGGCTGTTTTAGCTTATTCAATTTTCTACACACAGTCCTAGAAGTGGACACTCTGATTATCCGCATTCAATAGATGTGAAACTGAGGTTTGAAAGATTACATACTAACTTGTCCAAGGTCCCTCAACTGGCAGGTGATGGAGCTGGCACCTGAGCCTGGGAAATCTAGGCAGTAGTGTTGGGTGGTAGTTTATGGAAACAGTGACTGGATACGTGGGGTGACCAGTTGTCCTAGTTCGCCCCGACTGGTTCTGCTGTATGCCTGTGCTTATGGTAGATACTTTAATGCTTATTGATACGGTTTGACTCTCAAAAGTGTTGTGGTTTGGATAGTAAATCATATGGTACTCAGTACACAGAAGAGGAACTGTGTATGACCTGATCATTTTTGTCCCCACACCAGTGATCAGCATGAAGCAAAACTTAAAACAAACACCCCATGTACATCACCTCTGGGGGATCAGTGGACAAGGCTTTTCACCCTTATTTTACGGATGAGGCTCAGAGCGGTCTAGTCATTGTCCAAAGTCACCCAGCTTGTATTTCACAGACTGAGACTCACAACTAAGTGGACCTCCGACTGCACGCTCCTCCCCTCCAATGCCTCCCCACCACCTCCCAAATGTCTCAGTCTCCAGGAATTTGACACTTTTCCATATCCACATTCCAAAGGAGAACATCTTCCCCAAGCACATTCAGAGACGCGGTTGGAGGTGGACCTAATGGCAAGTGAAAGAGAACCTGGAATCGATATTCATGTTCCAAGACCACAGTCCCCAAAATAACAGAGAATAAGGCACACATACACCAACAAAATCCAACTTCAGCAGGAGATTTTACAGCTGTCCCACGGGGAGCCTGTTCTTATCCAGACGTTTAATTGGAAGTGTACTTCAAGTCTGCACGCAGCGTGTCTGGGGAACTTGAATGTGGGGCCGCCAGGGCTGAACCAACTCCGGGAAACCTAATTAATTTCTAAATGAGAAATGATTTCATTTCCCAGCTACAGTCTGGCGGTGAATGCCAGGCACGGGGAGGTCTTACAGGACCAGGCTTCCACACCAGCTGCTGTCCTTCTCTGCCCAAGTTTTCTTCTTACAAAAGAAAGAAAGAGAGAACAACAACAAAAAAAATCAGCCAGATCAAGGTCTGGTACTCTGTAATCACATTCTGCCTTGTGAGTCAGAACTCACCAAGGCTGTTGGCATTCGGGGGATTGGGGGCAAAGTGATTTGGTCACTATGGAGGCTACATTATCATCGTCATCACCACTACCACCATCACCATCATTGGTACACTTACGATTTATTTCTTGCTTACTCTGCAGGGTCCTGTGCTGAGCATCTTACTTACATTGCCCCATGTTGCCCTGTTGTCTTTACATGTATTGTTCTTATGATACGATGCCTAGCTTGCCCTGAAGGATGAGAAGAAAAGTATTTCTATTCATAGCCATCTTGTTGCCAAAGGATTTAGAAGGGCTCAGCATCCAGCTCATGGTAAACAACCAGTGAATATTTGGTAAATGAATGACTGGTAGAAAAGAATCTTGTAACTGTTTGCCTTTCTGCTTTGCCTACCAGGAAGCTCAGAGCCAAAGTGGTGGCAACTGCCTAGGCCTTAAGGCCTCTGCTTCCTCTCTTCCTCCTTCCCTCCTGCCTTCTCTCCTCTCCTTCCTCACCCTGTTTCTTCCCCCCAAATGGTCTTGATTTTCGTGTAATTCATTCCTTTCCATTTTCTCATGTTGTAGGTTGTATATTTCTTTGACTGCTTTGCCTTAGGAGTTCTCTGGAAACTGCCTCAGAGCCTTTTAGGGATGAGGCAAAATAAGTAGTAAGTTCAACCCAGGACTCTGCTCATTAGGCCAGTCCTCTTGGCACAGAGATCAGGGGACAGCATCTCTCTCTTTCTGATTTGGTTTATTCCACAAATCACGAGGTCTCCCCGCCCCCCTCCACCTCGCCTTTGCTCTGGGCCCAGGCCTTCATCCAGTAGACTCCTCACTCCCCCATCCAAGGGGCTTGCAGGAGGTGCTGCCTTGTGGTAATGTCCCCACTCCCCCATCCGAGGGGCTTGCAGAAGGTGCTGCCTTGTGGTAATGTCCCCGCTCCCCCATCCGAGGGGCTTGCAGGAGGTGCTGCCTTGTGGTAATGTCCCCACTCCCCCATCCGAGGGGCTTGCACGAGGTGCTGCCTTGTGGTAATGTCCCCGCTCCCCCATCCGAGGGGCTTGCACGAGGTGCTGCCTTGTGGCAATGTCCCCGCTCCCCCATCCGAGGGGCTTGCACAAGGTGCTGCCTTGTGGTAATGTCCCCACTCCCCCATCCAAGGAGTCACCCTCTCTACAGCAGTCATTTCCCAACAGTCAGCAAATGCTGTCCCCAGATGCCACCCTGAGGCCAACAGCAGTCACACAGCTGTTGAGTCACAGCCAAGACAGAAACCAAGGTCAGCCAGATCCCAGCACCCCCACTGTCATGAATGATCATGTGTGCGCTGATCCGTTGTGTGACTTCTCTCTCATTCAGACGCCAGCTCTGGGGGCAGGCTGTGTCTGTTCCCACTGGAGGCAGCAAATACGGAATCCATGGGTAGATCTAGACCTGTCGATCACATTCATTCATTCAACATTCATTGGGTGTCTGCTGTGTTCCGAGCATCTAGCTGTTGTCGGGATTCTAAGGTAGATCCCAGTCTCTTGCTTCAAACAGATGTGGAGACAGATGTGCAAACACATTTCAACCCATCCATGAAAATCTGCTCAACACAATGAGACAGCACAGAGGGAGGAGGGGTTAACCCTGTTAGGAGCTATCCAGGAAGGCTTCCTAGAGGAGGTGACGTCAAAGCTGGGTGCTTGGCAAGCATTTATGCTTGGCAAGCATTTTCCAGGTGGCCAAGGGTGGAGGGGCAGGACACGATTGTCTGCAGCTGACAGATGAGGAAGTAGAGGTACCAGAGGGTCGTGCCTTCTGGGACCCTTCTTATGGGGTTCTGCTGAGGCAGATGCCCTCGCCATGCTGCTTTTGTCCAGGCAACGAGGATGTCGCTGGAGGAGCTGCTGGAGAAATTAGTGAGGAACAGCAATGAATCTGCTTTGGTGTCTCAGAAAGTCTGTCCGCAGTGCCAGGAAGCATGGCTGTGCCCTCAAAGGAGAAACAACAGGGAAGAAAGATTCTGAAAAAAGAACGAATTGACCATTGAAATGTCCTCATAGAGAATCTGTCTTCTCCGGCCACATCTACAACATATGATGCGGCTGGTGGGAGAGCATAGCCCTCACGTGTTGGGGTTCCTTTATCTTTGGCATTAGGCAACTCCATGTGTGTCAGAGTAGAACTGTGCTCCATAGGGTTTTCAGTGGCTGATTTTTGAGAAGTAGATTGCTAAGCCTATCTTCTGAGGTACCTTTGGGTGGACTTGAACCTCCAGCCTTTAAGTTAGTAGCTGAGGGTATTAATTGTTTGCACCACTCAGGATTCCCATCATTAGAAGTGGTGGTGGTAAATAGGAATAGTTACGGTAGGTACTTTTTTTTTTTTTTTTAACAGTAGCTAACTTTTCCCTGCATTCCAGTGAGCGTTTGTTGATTGAATGAAGGAAGGTAGCGATCCTCTCTGCCCGGTGTCCTCTGTCTCCTCCAGCCATGCACGGGACGTTTGTGATTCTGCTGCCGCTCAGCCTGATCCTCATGGTCTTTGGGGGCATGACGGGCTTTCTGAGCTTCCTCGTCAGAGCCTGCCTCTTGCTTCTGCTCACTGGGGTCCTCTTCCTCTTTGGAGGTAGGCGCCCCCTGCCTGGGGCCCAGGAGGGACTGGTGGGGCTGGGCACACCCTCAGCAGCGGCGGGGGCGGGCGGGCCCATTGCCTCTCCAGGACTCAGTTTCCCTATCTGTGATATCACGCATCTGGAAGAGAGAGTGATTTTGGACACAGGGCCCCTGGGTCTCTGGTTCCAAGAAAGAAGCAGTGGGTGGGCCAGGCCCTGAGAATCATTTTTTGTTTATTTCACAGAAGAAGCTGGACCTTGCCTTTGCTGCACTCACAGCAGCTTGGAGCTTTAGGGCTGGGGACTGGTGGGAGACTCTGGCTCCAGCCACCTCACTTCCTCATTCTGGTCTGTTGTGACAGATACTGCTGATTGATTAGAGCGCATGCAAGGCAGACAATGGCCGGGTTAATACAGTCTGTTTGGCAGAGCAGAGCTTTTAAAACTGAGATCCAGCCCACGGCTGTTTGTTCCATGGCTCCATACTGCCTGTGTGTTTGAAACAGTTTATTGGGGACAAAAAGGAAGAGAGGGTGGTGACACACACATACAACTGCAGTCCACAGAGGGGAAAAATAAAAGCAGTTCTCGGAGGTGAAAATATTGTGAAGTTCTGAGCTCCTCCAACCACCCACGATTATCATTAACATTGCCATGAATAGTTCATCCGATGAATTAATTCTCTAACCCAGCACCGCCCAGTAGAACTTTCCCTGACTGTGGAGGTATTCTCTGATCTGTTCTGCCCATCCAGAAGCCACGGGCCACACGTGGCTCCTGAGCCCTTGACCTGTGGCAAGTGCAGAAAGAGGAACTGAATCATTAATTAAATTAATTTGAATTTAACTAGCCCCCTGTGGCCAGTGGTTAGTGGATTGGACAGAGTAGCTCTAAATACATATCTGCCAAGGGCCTACTGTGTGCCAGGCGTTGTTCTAGGTGCTGGGGAGTCAAGGATGTTCCTCTGGATCTCCCAGCCTGTTTTGGGACTGGGGGGCAGACATCAGTCAGTAATTGCAGAGATGAGTGAAAACTTGCAGTCCAGACTAGGGCGTGTGGAGAGTGTGGGGGGCTGGGAAATTGCTAGGGGGCTGACCAGAGCAGCCCAGGAAGGGTGGGGAGTGACACATGAGCTGAGACTTGGAGGATGGGTGGCAGTCGCCTATGGCAAGAGGGGCGGGGAGGGCCCCCCAGGCAGCAGAGCCAGCACTGCAAAGGCCCTGTGGTGGGAAGGAGCATGGGCTTTGGGTGAGGCTGGTGTGGCTGAGGAGGGACAGTGAGGAGGAGGGTCATGTGGGGAGGTTTGACCTGGTGTCCCTTTGCCACCCCTGCAGCCACGGTGACCCTCGCTGGGATCAGCGTCTACATCGCGTACTCGGCCGCCGCCTTTCAGGAGGCGCTGTGTCTCCTGGAGGAGAAGGCCCTCCTGGACCAGGTGGACATCCACTTCGGCTGGTCCCTGGCCCTGGGCTGGATCAGCTTCATCACCGAGCTGCTCACCGGGGTGGCCTTCCTGGCAGCAGCCCGAGAGCTCCGCCTGAGACGGAGGCAGGACCAGGCCATATGAGCCTGGACATCTGGTGGTGGCAGGGAGGGAAAGGGCCCAGACTGGGGGGCCCCACGGACCTGTCTCTGGGGGCAGTGCCCTCCTCTTCTTCAGAGGCCACCTGTGGAGGTCAGGAACCAGCTGGCCATCCCCTGTGCACTGACCTCTGGGCTTGGCTGTCGTCTTAGTGCACGGTGTGCCCTTGTATGTGTGCATCTCTGTGGGCTGGGGTGGGGGGCGAGGGCGTGCCCAACCCCTGTAACCCAAAATGATGATAATAACCCCTTAACGTTCACTGTTGTCGTGTTCCAAACACTACCGCAGGTTGCATGCGACAAAAGTCTTAAGAAGGAGGTGGCCTGGCATTTGGTTTACATCAGTGCTTCTCAGACGTTCACGGGGATGTTATTAAAGTGCAGCCTCTGATTCAGTAAGCTGGGGTTGGGGCCTGAGATCCTGCATTTGTAACAAGCTCCTGGGTGAGGCTGAGGCTGCCGGTCGGTGGACAGTGACAGATTTGTAAAATATAACACACACACGCACACGTGTACACACATACGCTTGCACAATACACACGTAGGCACAAATGTACACACATGCATATGCACACACACAACTACACACATGCACACATGTACACACATTCACACACGCACAGGTGTACACATGCACACATGTACACTCACATGCACAGGTATACACACATGCACACAGATGCACAAATGTACATGCATGCACACACGCATGCACACGTACACACATTCACACGCACAGGTGTACACACATGCACACATGTACACATGCACAGGTATACACACATGCACACACATGCACAAATGTACACGCATGCACAAATGTGCACACATTCACACGCACAGGTATACACACATGCACACAGGTACACACGTATGCCCACACACATGCACATGTGTACACACGTATGCACACACATGCACACAGGTACACACGTATGCCCACACACATGCACACGTGTACACACGTATGCACACGCACGCACACATGTACACACATATGCCCGCACAAATGCACAAATGCACACGTATGCCCACACACACGCACAAATGTCCACACACACGCATACACGGACAAAGGTACACACGTATGCACACACACATACATGCACGCACGATCGTCTCTCCCCTTCAGTTGCTTCTGCATTAGCAAAGGAGGCTGCCATCTCCCATCCGCCGAGTCCTGGCAACACTGAACAGTTTTTCTTTTGTGACATGATGACATAGCATGAGCTCTTATGTGGCCAGGGGAAGGTGTTTTCTTGGCACGGCCTTGGTGGGCCTGGTGGGGGATCAGGCCCACCTCCTTGACCCTGTAGGCACTGAGCTTTCTCCCTGGGAGCCTCGGCCCCCAGCTCCTTTTGGGGCTTAACACTGGCTTTGTATAGTGTGGGGTGAGGTCTAGAATGTGATGTCAAAAGATTCCCAGGGGTTGGTCAGTCAATAGGGCAGTCTTCAGTGACTGATCGTCCCTCTCCCTCCCTCTTCCAGAACACTCTACCCTCCTTCGTCCTGGTATCTGGTCAGTGGTGGGGGTGTCTCCCAAGTGGCTGCACCTCTGAATCACCTGGTGGCAGCGGTGCTCGCTGCAGCCGGCCTAGGAATCTGTAGGGCTTGTGAAAACAGATGGCTGGGCCCCGGCCCCAGAGTTTCTGGCTCAGAAGGTCTGGGTTAGGGCTGGAGAGCATGCGTTTCTAACAAGCTCCCAGATGCTGCTGGTCTGGGGACCCCACTTTGAGTAACACGGACCTGGGGCATTTGTTAAAGGGGCCGCTGTGGCTCTTCCCCTTGGCTGCACGTTAGGGGCAGCTGATCACCCTTTAAACGTCCTGACGTGTCTCCAGGGAGAGGTCCAGGCACCAATGCATGAGCGCTCCCGGTGATTTCCTGGAGCGGCCGAGGTTGAGGGCCTGCTCCTGTAAGATCCTGAGTCATAAGATTTGGGGAGGACTGAAGCCTTAGGGTAAGAAGCTCCCCAGGAGGTGCTGCTCATTCAGCAGCTTTGGCAACACGAGTGTGGGTCATCAGCTGACAACGCCACTGTCTGCATCAGGACACCATCCTTCATGAGATCAGCAGCATCCTCCTCACAGCTGAAACCCATTGAATGCTTACTGTGTACCTGCACTATTCTCTGTGCCAGTCGATCAATCAGTCGTTCAACAAACATATGATGGCAGCCCATTACATGCAGGCATTAGGGGCAGTGACTCAAAGCAGACCGAGCTCTTGCTCTCATGAGGGAAAAAGACACAGCTGGAGATAAGTGAAGTAGGGTACAGATGAGGAAACTGAGGCACAGGCAGGTGAAGTTAATGTTCCCAAGGTGCACGTGGAGAGAAAGGGTTGCACCTGGGAGTGCAATTAGAACCGCCTGGATTCCTTTTCTGTCCACTCCTCAGCCTGTGCTGGCACCACTTGGCTGGCTATCTGCTGGGGGTTCAGGATGCTGTGAGTGCTTCTCTTTCTCCCTAATCTGGAAAAGTGCAAATGGAGTGAATTGCTCACAAGGCCCTGTGGGGCTGAGTGAGCCCTATTGCAAGATCAGTAACTGTAGACCCGGGAAAAGAAGTGGAAAAATTTTGCAAAGTGAGGGCTACCATGGTAATGAAAGGGCGGTCTTTGCTGCCACCTTCTGGTCATATGGTGGAACTGTGCAAGAGCAGGATTTTGATGGACTCAAAGGACAATTGTTTTTAACCCTCTGGGCGCCCAGCACTGGGTTAAACACTTTGGGTTCTAAAATGAGGCAATTCTCCCCAACTGCAGGAGAAATTTGACAATGTCTGAAGACATTTTTTGTTATTACAATTGGGATGGGGGATGTTGCTACTGGCTTCTAGTGGGTAGAGACCAGGGACACTGCTAAACATCCTACATCCTGCAGTGCACCGGACAGCCCCCCCACCGCCGATAAAGAATTATCTGACTCCAAACGTCAATAGAGCTGAGGTTGAGAATAGACTAGAATAATAGAAGAGAGGAGAAACTCTGCTGGGAAATGCAACAAATAACAAAACAAAGCGTGTGTGTACTCAGGGGGCTGACAAAAGAATTGAGAAGAAACTCATTCATTCTATAAATGCTTGCCAGGCACCTGCTATGTATTGAGAGCTGTTCTAGGAGCTGGGGACGCATTAGTGAGGGTGGCTGGCAAGATCCCTACCGTTATTAGCTTATATGGAAACATGATAATAAATACTATAAATTCAGATAGTGATTAGTGTTATGAAGAACATGAAACAGGGCAATGAGATAAAGATTGGCTGGGAATGCAGCAGCTCTAGAAAGGATGGTCAGGACGAGGCTCTCCAGGGAGACCTTGTGTGGCATTGTGTGCCTGCCATGTCGCGGAAGAGCAGAACAGGCAGGTGGAACAGCAAGTGCAAAGGCCCCGAGGTGGGCACAAGCATATGTGTTTGAGGCAAGGTAAGAAGACGAGTGGAGAGAGAGTGGTAGGAGTGAAGTCAGAGAAGTGGGTGGGGGCCGGCTATAGTGCCCTGGGCTGGTGGTAAGGGGGTGCTGATGATTAAATGGGTTTGAGAGTCTTTCCTAGCTTAACCTAAACTATCCTGTCCTATTTGTCCTATTCTGCCCTATCCTATTGTATCACCCTATCCTATCTATCCCATGGTATTCTGTCCTATCTTATCTAGCCTATTTATCCTATCCTATCCCATCTATCCTATCCTACCCTATCTATCCTGTCGTATCCTTATTTTCACTACTATTCTCTTCTATCGTCTTCCATTATTCTGTTCTTTTCACTTCTATTCTTTATAATTCTTCTATTCTTTATAATTCTATCCTCTAGTATTATTCTCTTCTCTTTTATATTCTAGTCTCTTCACTTCTATTAGTCTATTATGTTCTGTATTAGTCTCTTCTGCTGATGTTAATCTATTCTGTTACATAGTAGACTGTTCTATTCTGTATTATTCTATCTTATTCTAGTCTATCTTTTTCTATATTATTGTATTCCGTTCAGATTCTATTTGAGAGCAATGGGAAGCCTCTAGAGGCTCTCAGCAGCCTAGTACTGGGTTTTGTAGTCTTCAGGACCGTGGTTCTCAACCCCAGCTTTATATTAGCATCATTTGGGAACTTGAAAATATCTAACATCCGGACCTCAACAGGGAATCAGGTCTCAAGAGTGGGCCTGGCAGTGGTATTTTAAAGTCCCCCAGGCTGTTCTGTTGTGCAGCAGGGCGAGAACCACTGCTTTCAGGTCCCTCCATCTACTGCAGGGGCAAGAGTGGGTGCATGATGGTGCAGGTGAGAGATGAAAGGGCTTGGCCCAAGGGGAGGGGTGGTTGGACTCGGCGTGCTTTGGGGATTGAGCGCACAGGACTGTGATTCGTGAAAAGGTGAAAAGGAAGAGGGGTCAGCAGGCGCCTCTCCATTCGCTGTGGATGCTGCAGACTTGGCTGACCCCATGTATGCGCTGTGGAATGGCACACTCCAAAATGCCTTGTGGTCAGAGCTGCCTCCCTCGGGTGACTCAGAAGATACGGGATTCTCTGCCTGGCAGTGAAAATTGATTAATTGTTCACTCGTTCACTCACTCATTTGTTGGCTCACTCATTCATATATTTGTTGACTCATTTATATATTCATTCATTCATTCATTCACACCTTCACATATTCATTCACTCATTCATTCATTCACATATTCATTCACCTATTTGTCCACTCATTCATATGTTTATTCACTCATTAAAATATTCACATTAGTATACAATTCACTTATTTATATATTAATTCACTTATTTATGTATTCATTCATTCATCCCTTAGCTCATTCATCCAACAATCACCTATTAGATGCCTGATGTGCCAGGTGCTCTTTGGGGCACTGGGGATTTAGCAGTGAACTTAAGTGACCACAAAACCTGCCCTCAGAAGCTGACATGTGTGTGGAGTGGGTGGCAGACAATGAAGATTTCAGGTAAAACGTATGCTATGTTACCTGATAAGAAGTTCTGTGAC